TTATCATAGGTACACGTCAACTATGACAGACAAATTGAGATTTTTTTTCTCCAGAAAATCACATTGTAGGATTTTTAATGAATTTATTTGCAAATTATGGTGGAAAATAAGTATTTGGTCACCTACAAACAAGCAAGATATCTGGCTCTCACAGACCTGTAACTTCTTCTTTAAGAGGCTCCTCTGTCCTCCACTCGTTACCTGTATTAATGGCACCTGTTTGAACTTGTTATCAGTATAAAAGACACCTGTCCACAACCTCAAACAGTCACACTCCAAACTCCACTATGGCCAAGACCAAAGAGCTGTCAAAGGACACCAGAAACAAAATTGTAGACCTGCACCAGGCTGGGAAGACTGAATCTGCAATAGGTAAGCAGCTTGGTTTGAAGAAATCAACTGTGGGAGCAATTATTAGGAAGTGGAAGACATACAAGACCACTGATAATCTCCCTCGATCTGGGGCTCCACGCAAGATCTCACCCCGTGGGGTCAAAATGATCACAAGAACGGTGAGCAAAAATCCCAGAACCACACGGGGGGACCTAGTGAATGACCTGCAGAGAGCTGGGACCAAAGTAACAAAGCCTACCATCAGTTAACACACTACGCCGCCAGGGACTCAAATCCTGCAGTGCCAGACGTGTCCCCCTGCTTAAGCCAGTACATGTCCAGGCCCGTCTGAAGTTTGCTAGAGTGCATTTGGATGATCCAGAAGAGGATTGGGAGAATGTCATATGGTCAGATGAAACCAAAATATAACTTTTTGGTAAAAACTCAACTCGTCGTGTTTGGAGGACAAAGAATGCTGAGTTGCATCCAAAGAACACCATACCTACTGTGAAGCATGGGGGTGGAAACATCATGCTTTGGGGCTGTTTTTCTGCAAAGGGACCAGGACGACTGATCTGTGTAAAGGAAAGAATGAATGGGGCCATGTATCGTGAGATTTTGAGTGAAAACCTCCTTCCATCAGCAAGGGCATTGAAGATGAAACGTGGCTGGGTCTTTCAGCATGACAATGATCCCAAACACACCGCCCGGGCAACGAAGGAGTGGCTTCGTAAGAAGCATTTCAAGGTCCTGGAGTGGCCTAGCCAGTCTCCAGATCTCAACCCCATAGAAAATCTTTGGAGGGAGTTGAAAGTCTGTGTTGCCCAGCGACAGCCCCAAAACATCACTGCTCTAGAGGAGATCTGCATGGAGGAATGGGCCAAAATACCAGCAACAGTGTGTGAAAACCTTGTGAAGACTTACAGAAAACGTTTGACCTGTGTCATTGCCAACAAAGGGTATATAACAAAGTATTGAGAAACTTTTATTATTGACCAAATACTTATTTTCTCATTTTGTCTGTCATAGTTGACGTGTACCTATGATGAAAATTACAGGCCTCTCTCATCTTTTTAAGTGGGAGAACTTGCACAATTGGTGGCTGACTAAATACTTTTTTCCCCCACTGTACATGAAAAATAAGAATTTAATAAGGAAGAATGAAAAACAACACATACACCAGTTACTTTGAACATTAATATATTTTATTTTTTATTAAGACAATAACTAATTTTTTTCATAAAAATGTCTATTAATGAACCAATACAAAATGTGTATGGGAATGTGGATATCTTTTTTCTTCATTAATACACATTAACATTGCCCAAGTAGACCTACAGCAGAAAGACAAAAATAATCAATGAAGACAATGAATTGATAAACAACCAAACGCCCTGGGAGGAAAACCAAACGTGAGAGACGTGTTTAAATTGATAATTGCACAGCCACAGCTGAGTGTGTTCTGTTCCTGCGTCATTTTAACAAATGGAGTACTCATACATTATGAACTATGTCTATACAAAGTCATACTTAAACACATATTATACAGTTCACTGAATATTTAAGAAAATACATAAAACATGTACAGCTTAAATGCAAAAGAAAAAATCACTAGTTGTCTCTTGATCTAAAATGATTTGAGTTTTTTTTTTATATACTTAATCAATTTGTGGTGGGGCCTAGACTTTGCATTCTACCTGAGATGCAATCACACCATTCAATGCACATGAACCTGAGACAGGGAATTAACAAAGGAATGTAAAAAGTAATTTGATAAAATAACACGGTCAGACTACCAAGTTAACAGTACCTTGAGTCACAAAGGGGCATTTCATGAGAAAAATAAAACAGATAACAACACTTAGGAAAAAGAAATTACAAAAAAACAAACATTCTATACTCAAAGCCAACTCATTCCACACCTCTCTGGACTTTTCACATCCATCCAAATAGTTGTCCATCATCGAATTATAGTGGTCCCCATTCCAAACCACAATACACATAAGTAAAAGGTTAAAAAGCAGAAACAAACATATATATCGACCCAGTCCACACAGCGGTGAGTACATGTCATTACATCTCCATCTACAGAGAGAGTGAATAGATGTGTTCACTTGGTAAGAACATAATTTTTTAGGTCCAGTTTTGAATGGAAACCGCCACACTTTTTACCGAAGCAAAATAATGCTCAATGTTAAATACAAGTCACACAACCTCAATCTAAACGATGGTAACATTCTCTCTGTTGTTTGTTCCGTTTAAACAACAGAGGGAATCCAAAATGTTTCATATGATGTCACAGTCTAAAACTAAGCATTTAAACGAGTCAGGAAGCCACCGCTGTCCTGATAAACAAACAGCATTGTCGTTGTGGTACAGTGTTAAATCAGTGATAGCTCCTTTTCCAAGATATCATATTTGTAATAAATGTCAAATCAACCTCATTGTCATATCAACAACCTCAGCAGGACAGTAACTAAATTCAACAGCAATACTGACTGTGGTGATGTAGAAATTAAATGAAAAGTAATAGATAACAAAAAATGACTTTTGGCATTCCCCAATTCTCCCCCACTGGCCCTTTCAACATGGTCTCATCTTAAAGCTTAGGCAGGTCATTCACAAAGAAAGAAAAGAGAAGACTGTATTATGTTGGTTTAGAGGTGCACACTCACATACATGCAGTGTGGTGTTGACTGACTGTTTTGGCAACTGAAAATTGTCGCATCATGACAAGACCATGTACAGTCCAGAGGCTGAGGTGTGATAGTAGTGGCAATAAGGCCCTGTCTCCAGTGGTAATTCCTAGTGACACACACGCTCCTCAACTGTCATCACCCATTCAGGAGTGTTGCACAGTATGGAGTGACAAAACTCACAACAAACAGCTTGTGATAATCATAAAAACCACAAAATTATTCTGTCATGAAATTCCACTAGGATGTAAAATATATTTCCTGGCACGTGTTTATGCATAATACATTGGTGTGAATTTATTGGCTGGACATAGTTTGTATATTGTTGGAACTATTCATTCTGATGCATCTCAACTGTTTTGAGATAGTGTTTTGTCTTGATATCATATCCTTTGTAAAAATGTCTTAGATACAATGATTGTAGGTTCTCTGCTCAGAAGCTTTGTATCCACTATTTATCACCATCTCCTTCAAAATCCTATAACCCTTTTTACACCTCTAGTTCTAATTTTATACACAAGGCTGGAAAATACAACTAAATGTGTGATTTGCCTGTTCAGTTTATACCAAGATGAAGGTAGTATCACTTTTTTTTATGTTGATTGCAGTAAGTACCTCACAACCTAGATTGATATCTCTCTTATAATGAGAATATTCACCTTTGATAGTCAACATTAGTTTGGAGATGTCTTCCGGTCATTTCTCATTTAAATGAATCCTATCAGTATTACATATTTTGTTTTCTCCCCTAACTGTATTACAGCTTGGCCAAACTGAGGCATCTTGATTTAGAGACAAAGGGTGAGTACAACACCAAAGAAACCATTAAAAACTAATTATTATTTTCATTTTTTTGTTTGTAAAAACTATTTCTGAATGATTGAGGATGTAAAACCCAAAAATGTCATCACAAAACAATAAATGCCTGCCGGGGGATTGCGGTTCCATTCAGTGGAACAGAACAAAAACATAATTGTACAGAGAATAAAAGGTGTAAATAATGAATTGAAAATGCCTCTAAATTCAGCATAGCGAGGGTGAAATAATGTGCCTTCTACTTTCTTATTCCAAGCTGTGGCAATCTTTTAAATGCGCTGGCATATCTAATTTGAAAAACAAATTGAAGAGGCAGAGGAAGGAATACAAGTGATCCACAGTGATGAGGAATTGGCCCCGATACAAAGAAAACAAGGACAGTTTTCAAGACCAATTGTCCTCTACTGTCTTCCTTTAGATTATATTTCTGTGTGTGTGTGTTTTGAAGGGGGGGGGAGCACAATGTTATTTTCCTCATATACATTTTTCGAATATGATACGTAAAGCGTTGGATGTGTTTTGGAGCTTTCAAAAGGTTTGGGAAAAAAAGAAAGGTGGTGTTTGAGACCTGGCCTGCTCACAGTATAGTGGAAATAGGGTTCTTATGAGCTTTTGGTATGCAGGAGAGGACGTGTGTGTGAACACAGTGGGAGAGATGAACAGAGCCACTTTGTAATTTTACCCTCATAGGAAAGCCAACAGCACAATGATAATGAAGAGAGTGGAAGAGGGGAGGGTGGGGAGCAACAGGGCATATTGATGGGGGGGGGGGGGGGGGGGATAAAGAATGAATAGAAAATAAATTCAGAACAAGGCACAGAATTTTCTGCAAATGGTTGAACTAAACACAATTCGTACCAGCAGTTTTGGGAGGTGTCGCATGGTGACGCTCTCTTCTACAGTGATTTCTGGCAACCCCCAAACCCCCCTCCCTTACCAAAAACCTCCCCTCCCCATCTTTCCACCTTATACACACAAAACTTTTCCTCTGGACTATACATTGTTCAACCCCGGGCAATCATCCCTAAAACCAACCTATCCTACCCCCCTTACCCAACCCAACCCAACCCAACCCAACCAATTCTCAACCCCCCCTCCCCCAACCCAAAGACAGTGTGGTGTCCCACAGAGGACAGTATTGGGGCCCTGTGATTTCTATATGTAGTACTCTTTCTTCTCGTCCGAGTTGTTGTGGCCCCCCTCTGCGTTGATAATGGCCGTGTCTGCGTCTGCTGCATCGTCGGCTCCTTTAGCTTCATGTGTGAAGTAGGTACCTGAAGGGGGGGGGGACGAAAAGGAATGAACAACTTGATAAAAATGGACACTTCATTGCTAAGCTCCTGAATGCCTACTCAAGTTTCCTTGACATTAAGAAGCAAATCATTGAACCAAAACGACCCATGAGTTTTATTGAAAAATATTTGATCTCATAAAATACGTTATTAAAATATAATCATATTAAACTCATAATTATGTCCGTTGGCACACCTACACAAACTCTAATGGAAACTGTAGCTTAAAAATTATATATCAGCTGCTACAATTGTTATTATTGTACGTAAATTATTTATTTGCCACTGCAAACCTCTCTGTTGGCATTCCTTGATTCGCACATGGAAATACAGATTCTGCTTCAGCTCGACTCACACCTTCGAATTAACCTTGCCTAGTTCAACAAACGAGTGGGAATGAGCAATCCACTTCAAACTTCATTTCCGACAGGGATTATTCACATCCCAACAGTGTTGGGCCTGATAATGAAGGCGATAGCCCAGATCAAATGGAGAAGGGCAGGGAGTAATTTAGAATCAAAACCAAAACCATGGGCTGCACTCCAAAGACCACCCCTTCAAAAGTACAGTAGCCACAACAGAGAAAAAATCAGATGGGGCTCAGGCGGTATGGTCAAATTCCTAAAACATTGTTCAGGGGGGAGAGGGAAGTGGATTTCTGATAGCCCAGGACAATATTAGTATGATACTGAGTAAAAAACCCATTACATTATAGTGTGTTTGTGTTCTTTTTCACCTTGTGGTTCCACAGAGGTGCTTCTATAGATAGAAAACAAAAGGGTTTGTCACATACCTTTGTGTCTTGCAAAGTACCGTCCCAAAATGATGAGTAGACAGAGCATGGCAAAGACAACCACAGCCACTACTCCTCCAATGACTGCATGGTCGACCGCTCTTGGTGCTCCCTCTCCAGCTCTGGAATCTGTATGCACAGTAAGATAAACAGCTTTTAGAGAATCCACTAACAGTGCATGTTAATGGTAGAGATCACACCCACTTTGGTGGATTAGAGATCTCCAAAGAAATAATGATGACATTTATCCCTCATACTACACTGCTCAAAAAAATTAAGGGAACACTTAAACAACACATCCTAGATCTGAATGAATGAAATAATCTTATTAAATACTTTTTTCTTTACATAGTTGAATGTGCTGACAACAAAATCACACAAAAATTATCAATGGAAATCAAATGTATCAACCCATGGAGGTCTGGATTTGGAGTCACCCTCAAAATTCAAGTGGAAAACCACACTACAGGCTGATCCAACATTGATGTAATGTCCTTAAAACAAGTCAAAATGAGGCTCAGTAGTGTGTGTGGCCTCCACGTGCCTGCATGACCTCCCTACAACGCCTGGGCATGCTCCTGATGAGGTGGCGGATGGTCTCCTGAGGGATCTCCTCCCAGACCTGGACTAAAGCATCCGCCAACTCCTGGACAGTCTGTGGTGCAACGTGGCGTTGGTGGATGGAGCGAGACATGATGTCCCAGATGTGCTCAATTGGATTCAGGTCTGGGGAACGGGCGGGCCAGTCCATAACATCAATGCCTTGCTCTTGCAGGAACTGCTGACACACTCCAGCCACATGAGGTCTAGCAATGTCTTGCATTAGGAGGAACCCAGGGCCAACCGCACCAGCATATGGTCTCACAAGGGGTCTGAGGATCTCATCTCGGTACCTAATGGCAGTCAGGCTACCTCTGGCGAGCACATGGAGGGCTGTGCGGCCCCCCAAAGAAATGCCACCCCACACCATGACTGACCCACCGCCAAACCGGTCATGCTGGAGGATGTTGCAGGCAGCAGAACGTTCTCCACGGCATCTCCAGACTCTGTCACGTCTGTCACATGTGCTCAGTGTGAAACTGCTTTCATCTGTGAAGAGCACAGGGCGCCAGTGGCGAATTTGCCAATCTTGGTGTTCTCTGGCAAATGCCAAACGTCCTGCACGGTGTTGGGCTGTAAGCACAACCCCCACCTGTGGACGTCGGGCCCTCATACCACCCTCATGGAGTCTGTTTCTGACCGTTTGAGCAGACACATGCACATTTGCGGCCTGCTGGAGGTCATTTTGCAGGGCTCTGGCAGTGCTCCTCCTGCTCCTCCTTGCACAAAGGCGGAGGTAGCGGTCCTGCTGCTGGGTTGTTGCCCTCCTACGGCCTCCTCCACGTCTCCTGATGTACTGGCCTGTCTCCTGGTAGCGCCTCCATGCTCTGGACACTACGCTGACAGACATAGCAAACCTTCTTGCCACAGCTCGCATTGATGTGCCATCCTGGATGAGCTGCACTACCTGAGCCACTTGTGTGGGTTGTAGACTCCGTCTCATGCTACCACTAGAGTGAAAGCACCGCCAGCATTCAAAAGTGACCAAAACATCAGCCAGGAAGCATAGGAACTGAGAAGTGGTCTGTGGTCACCACCTGCAGAACCACTTCTTTATTGGGGGTGTCTTGCTAATTGCCTATAATTTCCACCTGTTGTCTATTCCATTTGCACAACAGCATGTGAAATGTATTGTCAATCAGTGTTGCTTCCTAAGTGGACAGTTTGATTTCACAGAAGTGTGATTGACTTGGAGTTACATTGTGTTGTTTAAGTGTTCCCTTTATTTTTTTGAGCAGTGTATATTGTCAGCTACTCCAGCCTAAAATACATAAATGCTGTATGCAGTTGGAAAGAAGCGCAAAATGAGAATTGTGAAAACATTTATGAAATGACACAAATAAAGGCCATGAAGATTCTTTCTAAAACACACAATATGATTCAAGTAAAATGTATATTCTATATTCCAGCTTCCACCATAATGAAACAAAATATATAATGGACTGAATTATATAAAATGGCCAGAATGTGGTAAGAGTTTGGTTTATTAGGCAAAATGACTGTCTTTCGAGAACCGCTATACAAAATTCATTTACATATCACATAGCATGTTTTCCAATTTACAGTAAGAACATGCATAACTCTACTGTGGTTTGCCATTTAACTGAATGACAGGAGAAGATAGTGGAACATTTAAACATGATTTATGAAGTGATACCCTTGGTTCTCAACTTCAATCTGCCAGAGCAAGCACTGCTGTTCAAATAAATCTGGACCCTGCCTTGTCTCGAGTCAGAGCCATTGAAATACATTTAGCCTGCAACGACTAAAAACTGCAGTTTCCAGGAATAAAAAAAAGAAGATGTATATCAGTTTAGCCTGAAGAACAAGGCAGGCCTCAGAGGCTCCAAACCGTAATGATATGTGAAGGTTATTGATCAAGTGTAGGGATCCATGACAACCTAAAGTTAATGGCGGTTTGTGGACTTGATTGGTTCTTCACGGCGCAAAGGAGGAAAATCTTTCATCAATAGCTCACACTCTGCTAGGAAATGATTTTGGGTGAGAGAATAAATAGGAGACCGGGGGCTTTCGACAAGACCTTATGTCAGTGAGAGAGAGAAAAGTTTCAGATTCAATGAGGGATTATACATTTGTAAAAGTGAGGCTGTGGTAATAGCCTATGCCATATCACAGCTACATTCCCATATACTGTATATCAAATACTAATCAATTAAAATGTGTCATTCCGGGCATTTAATTCCAGACCTATGTATGTTTACAGGTGCATCATCTTCAAAGAGCTATCGCGAAAAGATAGGAAGGCAAGAGGGAATGGAGAAAAGGAGGGAAAACTGAACATCCCTGCACTCATCGCTAGCCTGAATCCCAGCTCAAGGAATTACTTGTGGGAGCTCAAAAAACAAAAACGGCAGGCCACAACTTATTAGAATATAACCAAGAGCGAGAGAAGCCCATGCTGTTGGGCAACATGCCCACCCTTTTCCTTACCCAACTCACCTCATAAACAACTCACTGGTAATACTGAGTGTGGGAGGGAAGGGGGGAGAGAACCCCACAGTCACAGTGCTACCTGCCAAACTCAGCCAAACTCAACCAAACATTACTTGATAACCCTAATAGGTTATTTTGACTTCAGATTTCCTTTTTCCGCGCTGGGCAGATTCAATTAAAGTCTGCAGAAGTCCTTTTGACACCTAATTCGCTCTTGTCAGGGAGGGAGGTAAAGACGTGCGCTAACACACTTTCCTATTAAGATGTTAATGTGGACTTGGGCTACGCCAGTCCGTCAGGCTGGGGGATAAACAGAGGCCTATGGAAATGTCAGGGAATTTTGCTCTCTCCCCTCCCCCTGAATAAAAATACTTCCTTTTTCTGTACTGGATGAGGGACGGGTGGATGAGGGAGGAGAGGAGGCACTGGGTCCACGGTGGGTTTGATGTCCCACTCAGTACTTGACACTAATTAACATAAGCTGATAAATGGACTGGGCTCGGGGAGCTGACTGTTGCCACCCATCCTACATCGGGAGTGATCTGACCCCAGTTGACCCCCACCCCTATCCCTCCCTCGCCCCTCTGTCGGCCCGCCATCCCCTGCCAGCCTCAGTGCAGCAACTGTAGACAAATGACATGGGGCTGGGAAACGCAGGCAACAAAAATCAGACTGTAGATTGGAGTTTATGATGGATTGCAGCAAGGGGTGTCGCTCAGGTCATAACGCAATCAGAAGAGGGGGAAATTGTAATTTGATAAAAGTCCACTGTGAACCAACATTGTTGCATTGTGTAATTTCAGAAAGGGCCAGATGGTTTGGAAATGAGTTGCTTCACTCTCATAACACAAACCAATGAACGCCTAATCTCATCCAGCCCATTCTGCCCCAGGAATATTCAATAATTCACAGCGAATTGGCATGGTAATGCAAACTCCTGAAATGTCCCTCCATCCAAATTGACTGCAATCAGTCACTTAATTATACGTATTGCAGGGTGCTTATAGATGAGTCATTACCACCAACAGCAATCCTTGTTAAACACTTAGGATTTAATCGTATAAAACTGGAGGAACGGCGCATCCGTGCCTTTCTATACTTCAAACAGATATGGGCGTTAACAAGAATATATCAAGGTATATATTTTCAGCTCATTGACACAAAAACCTTAAGGCAGATTAACCATGTGGATTAAGACCAAGACTTTATTCAATATAAAACGGGTATACGATAGTTTTCGGGGTGAGGCAACACAACAATTCTTCCTGTGTTGCATGCTGGAAATGATATCCGGTTGACTTTTTTGTTTCACACAGTGTACACCTGGTTTAAAATGAAAACGTCAGTAAAAGTGTAAACGTCAGTAAAACCAAATGCTTTTGAAGCCGAAGTGCCAGCACCCAGCGAGCACAACTAAGCACTCAGATCTCTCTATCCTCCATCACCCATCTTTCTCCACAGGTGGCCCCCCCGTGGAGAGTGGAGATTGCTACAGACATGGCGAGATGGCACCTTGGTGCTACCAGACACCAGGTAATCAGGGGCGGACGTATTTCTCCATCCCCGGGCCTGGGGTGTTACCCAGATTATTACCCAGACGCTGGAGGCCCCCAAGGCCACACACTAGGCCTTTTCACTCGGCATTGTTCTTATCCCCAGGCTATCTTAACCCTGGGCTAAGCTTTAGGCCTGGGCTAAGGATTCACACTTGTATTCCAAAGCACTGGGTTTACGGACAAACACACATTCTATCTCTGCCACGTGACCAATGTTAAGCAATAAGGCATTTATTTAAACATTATTTCCTCTTGCTTCTAGCCTAGCATTTTATTTCCAACAGTGCTGTCTGGCTGTCTGACCTCAGAAAAAATGTTTCACTTTTGACATGCGATATCGCCCCTGTACAGCGAATGCTTTGCATGGACGAGACATCAACTTTTCTGATCCAGGCAAAATCATGCAACAATATTATTATCATGGATAGCTCTATCCAATTAAATGTCAATAGAAAAGCTATGAAAACAGATGAAAATGAAGCATTTGCTGCCCTTCCAGCTGTAGAGTTTGTGGCTTCAGTTGGCTAGCTAAGTGAGAAGATGGTAGCCAGCCTGCATAGCAATCGTTTTTGTTAGCCAAAGCAACCAATGTTTTTGCATGGATAAAAGTATTTGGTCACATTTGTTGACAAAAGTATTAAAATACCGTGCAGAACGCATCACAGGCATCACAAGCATATGCAAATTAAGTGAAAGTGCAGCTTTTGTGATTGGACAGTGAAAATTCTATGCGTTGTTCTTGACCCCATTTCACACTGGCTATTTTGGCACCGTGTTTCTGGAGCTAGCCCTGAAAAGTCTTTGCTAACCCTGCTCCAGAGCAGGGCGGGCTAGCCCTGGGCTAAGATAGGTGCTAGCCCACTTTAGAATGTGCAAGTGTGAACACTCGCTTAGGAGGCTCTTAGCCCTGCCCTTACGAAAAAATATTGCAGTCAGAATGCAGTTATTCTGCAGTTACTGCGTCCAAAATACCACAGTCGACTGCAGTTACTGCACTTTTAATGTAGTTTCAAAACTACAATATTTTTTTGTAAGGGTGGGCTAAGGTGTAAACGCGCCTACTATGGGCCAGCCTGGTGGGCCAGCCTGGGTACGCCACATTTCGATACAGCTACGACCGGAAGTGACTTTTCGGAGCAGGTTAGGAGAGCATTTATTTTAACCTGCTACATTAATTATCCTAACCTACTGCGTAAGTTCTCCTAAGCTGCTACCAATGTCACGTCCAGTTGTAGCTTTGTTTTTAGGGAATCTTGGAAGGCCTGTCACAAGCTCAACTAAGCTCATGCATGACGAGGGAAAGTGTCTGAGGTGGAAAGCTAGAATTGCATGCACATATAGAGGCAAGGCTAAAAGCATGCCTCAAAAGCAGAATGATTTCAATGAATAGTGTTTACCATTATGTTCACAAAGGTGATATCTTATTGTGAACTGTACAAAGAAAGTGTTGAATAGATGTCTAAAGACAAGGAGTCTTTTCAGCAGCCAGAACACAACACTCAACCCAAGGAAAGGTGATGTATTGAATTCAGAGAGCCGTGGTCTCCTTTGTATGGAGAAAATGGTAGTCTATAGGTCTCCATCAGACGACAACTGAGTCTAAACATGAGTACAAACATCCAAGTGACATATAATTCTGGGTTTTCAAAGTCCAAGACAAAGACCTAAAGAGAAAGAAGAATAGGTCCCAACAAAGCTCTGTGTGGATACAGGACCTTGGGGTTGAAGTGAAATACCAGTGTGAACACAGTCGTGATGAGGGGAAGGAAAGGATGACTCTCAGGGGGTGTCCATCTGCAGACCACATTGGGAGTGCTGTCATGTGGGGTTACTTTCAAACACGCTTCCCTGATAGAGTTGGTGACCGGCCCCTATAGGAAGTGACCCGCGGACAATGGGCTGGTTAGCTTGAGAGGGTCGAGGCATTCTGCCGTCCACACCTTTTGTAACCCGAGACACATCCTCCAACACTCAGAGAGGAAAACACAGGCGTGATGGAGTCTATAGCGTTTTGCTGCTGTGATGTGGCGACGTGTTGTGTGTGAGTAGCAGCACCTTCTTTTGGACCAAAGACACCGCCAAAGAAGGAGCGTTCTTTTAAGATTGGTCCCCTCACGCTTTTTCCAGCGGGACACCGTGGGGTAATTTCCCTCCCTCTCTCTCTCTTGATCTATCCATCTATCTTGTCAGTGGGAAAGAAGATAAAACAGAAGAGTCTGTGTCTATACTGTTTGCTGAGAATGTATTGTCCCCGGTCACCCACACCTCCCTGTGGTTTCTTTACAGTCTAGGTTCTGATCTAGCCCAACACCCTCCAATTTACCACCAAACAACTTGAATGACAAACGCCCAAGCTATATACTAGAGCTCCACAGGGATCTGACTCTGTCCTCCCTGCTCTCCTTTCCCTCCGCATTCTCTCTTTCTCTCCATGACTGTTTTGCTAAGCGTCGCCAGAGGATAGAGAGGGTGAGTGTTTCCAGCCCTCTCCCGGTTGTTTGCTGTTTATGTGGAGAGAGAGAGTGGAAATGTATTGGTTTTCTCTCCTCCACCCCCATCCATCCCCCCTCTTGTGAGTGGAGCCTGTAGCCACACTTGATCTTGCTCTCAGAGTCAATTACTTCGCTTCCTTGGGATAAGGCTGCTGTTGTTTTTCAGCACCCAGGATTGGGGCGCTCATTGTCAAGTTCTAATAACTTTCTCAAATGAATCACACGATAGCAATAGGCCTCGATGCTATCCTCTGGTGGACAATTAAAACGTTATTCAGTCTGTCCTATCGCCATCTCTCCTTGTTTTGTTGCCTTTTGACATTTAGGACGCACACACAAACACACTCATATGCACTCTTTTAGTAAATCTCCATCAGGTATTTCAAATACATTAGCCAAGGCCAATTTAATGAGCATCGCTCACTGAAATCAAGAATACTTTAAGTGTTTCCTTGAAAATATCCTCTCTGTTTCAATATGCAAAATTAGTGAATTACCGAGCCAATTTCTAGAAAGGTCTACCACTCCAATTGTTTTTCTGCCTGCTTTTTTCCAATGCTTATGATAAACTGTTGCAACGTAGATAAATCCCAATCTGAGGTCACTGACTACCTTGGTCCATAGACTAATCTAAAGTCTATAGCGATCCATACAATGAGGTAGCCTATACTTGCCATTTGTGTGAACTATTCTAGAAAGGCTAGAGGCTAGCTTAAAAAGGCGTAGGTCTAGATTCAATCTTGGCTGCAGAAGATCCACGTTATAGCGTGATTGACATTTAAAGGTAATTTCCGATTGAGCTGACATATGCAGCTTTTGCCGTGAATGCGGTCTCCGCGAATTCAGAAACTTTGTCTTTAAAAGGTGTATAGCTGAAAAGAGGTGATCGATTTAATCTATCCCTTTGTCTACATGCCATAGGTCCTGTACAACACTGTAAACAATTATGACAAACATGACTGTGTGTGTGTATGTGTGTGTGTGAGAGTGAATTTCTGTGAATTTGACTCTCTTCTGAAAGGTAAGTGTACGTGAATGTACCCAAGTGAGTGTGTTTGTGTGTGTCTAAGTCTCTGACTGAGTCTGTAAATATATGATTACATGTGTTGCGTTCTGTGGTATGGACACTGCGTGCGAATCACGGTGATGTGTAGCTCTGGCCTGTCCCCCGCTGAGGTCCGTATGTGTGAATAATGAGAAGAAATGAGGAGGAAATGCCATTTTCAGCTTTAATATCTCATGATTAGGGCCTAATTAGATGGCTCCACAAGGAGGCGAAGCACGGCAACAGGCCATCTTGGGCTCTGCTGGAGTATGTGGCTGTGGTAGTGTCCACAGGGCAAAACACGTGTACAAATGAGTGTATGTGGGAATACTAGATCATAGCTCTGAAGTATGTTGTGTCAATCTTGTAAATCACACAGGCGCAATGGTAATACTACATAGCAGCATGTTGATTGGCATATTCTCTTATGTGGGCTGTCCTTCTCAACGTCATACTTAAGCAGGTCTTATAAGTTTAAGGTATAAGGTATGAAGTTCAGTGTTTTT